AAGGTGGAGAGAAGAGACAATCAGGAAAGAGGAGAGAACCATGCATTTTGTATCTGTTGATATATAATCATTCATAGATGTTGGAAACCTGTGTTGATGCATTTGCTTTATTCATTGTTGTTCTGGCTCAGATGCTTCGATTCAAATTTGTTTGAAATTCCAGTTGAAATAGAGACCCCTGATCACCGCTACTATCATGTAATGAATCTTATGCTCACTGAATCTTAACTCCTTTTCATCCTCAAGATTGCTATTGCTAGTCCTTGACAATGACAGCTTTGTTGAATAATTCAATGTTATTGCTTGTTGTAGCTTGCTTTTTTCACTACAAGAAAGATTAAAGCGATGGAGGAGCTCACATGGGTGAGTAGGCTTGATGTCATCACATGCTCATAGTCATTGTATCGTGGTGTGCTTGTTTTGTTGCTTTTGAAATACTGATATAAGTACACTGGTTTGGCTTGTTTTGGACCAAACTTTGCATGTTTTCTGATGAGTATAAACTTCAGTACATCTATATTGGGTTGCCCTCCTGACTTGGGGTTGGCAGTAGGTCCTGTTTTTCAGCTAATATGCATAATAAACATTAGTCAGTTGTGCTGAAGTAGCTTGTACACCAACCACCGGAAAAAAATAAAAAAGACTAGCTTGATAGGGCTTGAAGGCAGAAATGACTGGATGAGTTTTCCATAACTATGCCCAAAATCCTGCGTTCAACCCCAGGTACGAAAGAAAATTAATGGACCTCTTGCTCATATTTTGTTTTTGTTTTTTTATCAAGTCACTTCCTCATATTTTGCTTTTCGAAGAAAAGATAGATAGATGCTTCTCAACTTCGATTACTTTCTTTTACTCTTAATACTTTAGTAGAGCTTGTAATGATGTGACATATTCTGATGATGAGAAAGTGATATTTATGTATTAGGTTACTTTAATTATAATTAGTTAAGCATAGTGGACCTCTCCTCTTAACTGCAAAATTATGGTTACCCATGTTGATGGTTAAGGGAGTAAAATCAGAATTAGGCCCCTGTTTGAGAGTTAATTCCAAGTGTTATCTTTCTGTATTATTTGTTTTGATAGTCAATAACAGTAAACTATATCTTAAATAAGGCAAGCAACAAGCATAATTGGATGAATTAGTGTTGACATCCTTGAGGAAAAAAGAAAGTCATATCAAAGTGTTCAAAATTGCCAATTGAAACCAAGTCAGCAACACTGAAAGATGTTGCTCCAGAGAGTGGCAATGTCAAACTACTCCAATATGACATGAACGATTAGCAAGTATTAGTGTCTCGCCATTTTAACATGTCTAGTTTTTTGTGGCATAAGCACTCACATGGTACAAAAAGGGACCATGCCCCTATATCTTTCAGAATATAGGCTTTGGTATTTAGCCGTATATCTGCTTGATAAACTTTGGATTTGGCTCTGGCAGGATTATGGTATTGATTTTGATGACCTTGACCATCCAGTAAAAGCATTTAGCTGCCATTGCGGTAGCAACTTCTGCCGAAATATGAAACGTCCAAGCAGTAAGTAATATTGCAAAACATAAGCTTCATCCCCGTTTTTATGGTTGGAATTTGTAAGCGATAGTTCCTCCTATTTTCGCTTGTGAAAATTTTCTAGTTGAGTGGTTTTAGTAGTAACTGGTAAAGTTGCTGCCATGTGACCAGGAGGTCACGGGCTCAAGCCATGGAAACAGCCTTTTGCAGAAATGCAGGGTAAGGCTGCGTACTATAGACCCTTGTGGTCCGGCACTTCCCCGGACCCCGCGCATAGCGGGAGCTTACTACACCGGGCTGCCTTTTTTTTGGNTGCAATTCTTATCAAAATTAAGCCTATCTAATTATTGCATCCAAAGGTAACAAGAAAAAAGAATTTCTAGTGGTACGACTTCTTAACGGAAGTTGGTAGTTCAGGCATATGAACAGATACTGCCATGAAATTGGTATAATGGTCAGCTAGCAGATTAGGGGTATCCGTCAATCAGTTTGGTTCGACTTTTAAAGATTTTGGTTCGGTAGTTTTGATTTTTAAATTTTAAAATGGTTATCGAACAATTTAACCTATATTATATCAAACTTTTTTTGAGTTCTTAAAAATATATTGTTACATACAAACTACACAATTGTATTATGTATAGATAATGATAATTCAATCAATATAAATATAAACAGCAAGCTAAAATCCAAACAAGTGGCTTAAAGCCAAACATTAATAAGTGATCTGAATTTACATAATAGATTTGTATGTATTTTTATCTAACTTGTTCATAAAGATGGTGTTCGAGCCATCTTGCACACAACTCTAATACTTATATTTTAGGAAACATTCAAGGTTAATGTATTGTTTTTGAAAATTCTCATCACCAAGTAAAAACATTGGTGAAATTTTTTGAGAGAAAAATACACGACAACCAAATCAAAAATAGTTTTAGATGAAAGGTTGAGAAAGTAAGATATAAATCAAATCAAACAAAAAAATCTTTCTTTTCTTTCCATAGATAGCAAGTGAGTGGATTTTTTTTTTTTTTTTTTCATAANATACACGACAACCAAATCAAAAATAGTTTTAGATGAAAGGTTGAGAAAGTAAGATATAAATCAAATCAAACAAAAAAATCTTTCTTTTCTTTCCATAGATAGCAAGTGAGTGGATTTTTTTTTTTTTTTTCAATAAATAAGAGAAACTGAGTGAAATTGTAGAGGGAATATACACCAAAAGAAATACATTTTTTTCTTTGTTGAGGGAGTTTGTACGGAAGTATAGAGAGAGAACTACACCCAATAAACTAAGCATAACCAACTTTTTTCTTTTCTTTAAAAGAGATAACTGGGTGAAAATCTGGAGAGAGATATACCCATCAAACCAAACCATGAATGCATTTCTTTTCCTTAAGGAGAGAGAAAGCAAGTGAAAGTGTTGAGAGAGATGTATATTGACCAAAGCAAGTAAAAAGCTCCCTAAGTGGGTGAAGATATTGAGTGAGAAATATACCCTCCACACCAGAAGATAAAAACTTTTTATTCCTTTATAGAGAAAATTTGTGAAAATGTGTGGAGAGAAATTTACTCCAAAAGTTAAAAATGTTTTTTTCCCTTTTATAGATAGAAATTGTGTGAAAGTGGAGAGCGAATTGTACTTTATCAAAAAAAGTGGAGAGTGAATTCTAACAAATGAGAAAGCAATATTTTCTTCTAATCTTGATAGTTTTTAACTGTCAATTTGACCCTTTTTATAAGTTGTGCTTAAAAGGCATTGTCAGTGAACATACTATGTGCCCAACAAGCTCAACTTTGGGCGATTACACTTTTGGGAGGTAAATTTGATATCCCTAAAAGGAACTTACCCAATTTTTTCGTTAAGATGAAAAATGATGAAGGTTTGGTTGTTAACTTTCGGCACGTGATGAGCCTTTAGACCTTGTGTATTCTCTCAATCAACTTTTCATGAATTAGTGCCTTGACATGCATCCCCAATCTTCCATGTGCTGTTATCAGCACAATGTTCCATGTGCTAGAGTTCATGCATGTTGTGTTAGATATACTACCATTAGTGAGAGGGTATTATGATACCTGTAGGATCCAGATCAAGAAGGCAGGCCTGAGATGGTGATCTTCTCCCGGTATATTTTTGGCAATTTCCTGGTCTCGGGCGGTCCAAGAAACTGTTGCGATCGAACTCGGTCAAGGTGATGTTTTTGTATCTCTGTAGTGTTGTAGTGCTGATTTTGCAGTGTATGTACAATATGCAATACTAAGCGTGGTAGTAGTTAATGTTTAAAGCATACTATTAAGGCGCTATTTTGTATAGAAGTTTCAAGGATGCGGCTTACAGCTAGATCAGCTGCATGTTGGTTGTATATAATGATATTTTGGTCTGTGGGACTACATGCTGGATTAGTTGGTCTTTTTCCATGCGCAGACATGCTGTAGCATGTTGCAGACTAGACCATTTCTTAAATCTTACCTTTTTGTACCTTTCTTTCACTTTTGGGTTCTCCATGAAGCTGTTATATTTGCTCATGTTGTTTCATTTGAAGTCAATGAATCTGACTACATTATCTGGACAAGAACAATTTGGCAGCCTGTAACAGGGCAAAACCTACCACGCCAATATGTTTTATTGTTTTACTGGGGAAGATGAATATCGCTCACTCTCTGGTACCAGCTGTTCTAGTGTGTCTGAAAGAGTTTGGCTGAGTCCATCTAACATAACTGCTTAACTCTTTAGTAATGAAATGAAATTTACGAACAATCACTATTTGGTGAAGTGTTCTAGGGACCATTTTGCTCGCTGTTATTATAGTTTATCACCGGTTGATGAAACTGCTATTGCGTGTTGTCGGGCAACCTCGATAGAGACAGCAAGAAGGAAAAAAAATTGTGCAATTGGAACTGCAAACATGTGGGATTTCAGCAAATATTTAGCTCTTTAAATTCCTTGTATTCGAATTGGTCGAGAAAGGAAGTTGTGTAGACAAACTCGGGCATGAATTAGGAATATACGCATGTTGGCCTTTAACTTTTGACAATTCTCCAATCAGATAAGAATCTACCAATTACGCCTTTTTTTTTTTATTATCATCTTTGTTTAATTAGAGGCTTATAAGTACTTTAAGAATCGGCAGTGTAGTAGTCTGCTGACCGAAGTTTTAGAAGGACAATTTACAGAAAGAACAATCACTCTTAAGGTAGAAGTTACTACCAGCGTTTTTTTTAAAATTTGGGTAAGTTAGAACGTGAAAACTCTTAAAAGAGCACTTTACTCCTTTAATGAGTTTACGTGGCTCACATAATGATTACTTGAGGCAGTGAGTTTCGGATAATTGAGGGTTAATCGGAAAAAAAAGGAAGTAAATTTAGCTTTCAGACAATATAGAGCACATGATCAGAGCTGTTGAAAGAGTCTGATTGGTCCGTTATATACATGTTAATAATGTACTGCTATAAAACAATCAAAAGGAAGTGTAATATCCTCTGTTTTCGCCCCCATTCAAAAAGGTAACCATGCTACTTATTAACTCATGCTAATATCCTCTGAGGATCATTTGATTGCCTCATTCCAATTTTCACATGCAAATTGAGCTGACAAAATTCTGAATACAAGTTATCAACGATAACTTCAGGTGTGTTGAGACCCTCAGCATACCAAAACGAGAATAGACAAAAAATAGAACAGAAGAAACCAGTGAATAATGTATGCAAGATTGAAATATACCAAGACAAAAGACCTAACCTCTAAAGATCCTACTCTAAATGCATCAACATGAAGAAATTTCCACAAGATTTCTGCAAGTCTTTCCAGTAGATGGCTTAATCACTCTGTAGCCTTGCAATGTATTGATCATAGTATTTTGCAGCCCGTTCCATATCTCCAAGCTCAGTGTAACAATCAGCTATTGCTCCATAAGCTTCTGTGCTCCCGGAATCCTCTCCATTTCTTGATGAGATATCAAGAACCATAGAGTGGTATTCAATGGCTTCCTTGTACTTGCCCTGCCTTTGTAATGATGCCCCTGAGGAAGAGATAAAGCTTTGAGGGTCATTACATCGTGACACACACACATACAAGACAGAGAAGCAGCAGCAGTTTGTATGTCTGGATAAAGTTTCTTTGTAGACTATCTTGCTACAAAGACCAAGATATACTGAATCTCTAAATCTAACTTCTAGCAGTATTTTACATTTTCTTTAGCAGATTAAAAAGAAAATAAGCAAAAAAATCAACATGACCCTGTTACACCAAGAATTAGGATTAAATGACAACAAGGAAGATGGTGAATGTAGAAACAATATCTATTGAACATAACTTTACAAGGAGATCTCACATACCTAATCCTCTTGCTGCCTTCTTTTCCTCTATAGGATCATTTACATTCTGTGCAAGCTCAAGAGCTGTTTTAAACTCCACAAATGCCTTTTCTGGGGCTTGATTTCTCAGAAAATTCTTTCCATTTTTCAAGTGATAAATTAATTCCTCCTTTCTTGGATCATTAATCACTTCACTTTCTGCAATCCTGGCACCAACAGGAGCATAACTTAAGCTAGGTGCATAGGACTCTATTTTGGCTTGCCTTCTTAGCGCCGCATTGATCTGGCGGAGCTGCTCATTCAACCGCTGCAGTTCCGCTTTTCTCTGACGTGCAACTAGTCCTGAAAGTACAATTAAAAATGTGTACACACACATCCTTGTGTTCAAAAGGTGGGGGGAAAAATAAAACCAAGGAAAGCAATGATCCAACATTGAAAGGATCACTACACAGTTAAGAGAGATGAGAAAGAAGACTAGATTAGATAGGTTTATTGTAGTGAAGACATTTTGAGTACTAGATCTCACTAACCCCTACATCAACTCCCCAGTTTCACATAAACACATTATGCTGTTATACTCAGAACTGACTCAAAGTTGAAAAGTTTTTTCTACAAACAACCGATTCAACAAACAACCATTTCAAATTTCCGTACTTTCTGCCAAACAAAAATGAAAAAAGAAAAGAAAAGAAGAGGAATTCCTTGGACGCTGAGCACAACCCACACCATTTCCACTATTTTCTCTCAGCCTGCTTAAAGCACCTTTCTGAATAGGCATTTTTTTGGATAAGTTCTTGAATTGTCCCAAAGACAACTTAGTATGTATGGATTACGGAGTGCAACGAGCACAGATGGAGCAGAATGGATATTGAGGATCCATATGCTGACCTCAATAGGTTTGGGATTGAGGCATAGTTCTTATTGGTAAGTTCTTGAATAGGCCATATTGGGAAATCTACATAGTATAGCCGTCCCCCAAAATAATAAATGACAAATGTATATTTTTTGTATAATAACAACAAGACCATCAACGTACCCAGTGTGATCTCACAAGCGGGATATGGGGAGGGTAAGGTGTACCCAGACCTTATCCCTACCTTGTGTGTGGTAGAGAGGCTGTTTCTGATAGATCATCGACTCAAGAAAAGTATTTTCAAAAATGTGCCATGTCCTATCTAATCACTTCTCCCCAATTCTTCCTCGGTCTATCTCTACCTCTCCTTAGACCTATCACTGTCAACCTCTAGCACCACCTCACTGAGGCATTGTATTCCTCCTCTTCACATCCGCGAATCATCTCAGCCTCGCTTCCCACATCGTCCACCACGGAGGCCACTCCCTCCTTGCCCCATATATCTTCGTTGCTAATATTATCTCTCCTAGTATGCCCACACATCCATCTAAGCATCTTCATTTCCGCTACTGACATCTTTTGAACATGTGAGTTCTTGACTTGGCCAACATTCTGCCCCATACAACATAGTTGCTTTAGCAACCTCTATAAAATTTACCTTTTAAGTCTTGGTGGCACATTCTTATCACATAAGACATCGGATGTGAGCATCAATTTCATCTACCCTACTCCAATACGATGTGTGACATTATCGTCGATTTCCCCATTTCCTTGAATTATTGACCTAAGATGCTTGAATCTTTCTCTCTTGGGGATGACTTTTGTACCAATCCTCACTTTCACATCCACCTCATTAATGTATAATATACATATTTTATATATTAGTATATAGTTTTTGTATATTTAGCTAGTGGCTATATTTATTTTTGGCCGAGCGGTTAAATATGTTAAAAGCCCTGCTTATAGCTTATGGAATCTGTAATATACTGTTGTTGGCCATTGCCACGAACAGACATAGGGAATTCTGATTGCAGTTGTAAACCCGATGCATTAAATAAGATATTCATCAAGTGTTTTGGCGGAGAAACTGCTGAATGAAGTGGCCTCATTAATCCTGGATTCTACACTGGCTTCAATGTACTTGATGCATCAAAAAGCCTTTAACTTCTTTTCATTGAATTCAAATTCCATCTCAATGTGCATGAAATAAACTTAAGCTTTGTGAAGAAGCACAGGAATGCGAGAGAGACACAACTTGTCTCATGATCTAACCGCAATGACTTTCTGTACTTTCAAAGTTGAAAGCCCCAAAAAATGCAATAAAACAATGGCAGTGACAAACTTAAAGTACCTTACCTCCCACTGTGGCCCCAACGAGGGCAACAAACAGCAATAATGGCATATTGAAGACAGAAGAAGTATCAGCTTCACATGTTTGAGCCAAAGCTTCTAAAGGTGAAGTCATCATCAATGCATTAGTCACGATTAATGTTGCTGCAGGGTATCTGAACTGCAAAATTTTCTGCCATGTGTATAAAAATTGAAATTGAACTAGAAAAGGAAGCCAAGAAATTTATTCAACTAGTAGCTTTTTGCTATAATTACTGATTGAATACCTTGCATTTTCCACTAGAATAACATGAGTTTTTATCAACTCAAACATAATAAGAATAGAACAGAGCAAGCGGAAGGAATATGTACATAGCTAACGAATGGCTTAGAGAAATGGGTAATAAAATGAAGTCAGACTGTCAGTCTACGACATGTCTTCCCCAGATTTCATGGTTTTGCAGTGGAGTTTAGATAGTGCCAAGCAACATGGATAAGCTTTTAATAGAGAGTATCCTATAAAAACCTTTGACATTTTCGCTTTATTTCCAGTGAAGCCAATACTACAGCAATATGAATCTTCACCAACTAAATTTGAAAACATTGCATACTTCCATCACCTCACAGAAGTTGTGATATTAACAATCAAAAAGACAGAAGTTGTGATATTATTTTGAGAAATTAATCACTTTGACAATAACTACAATCAATCTGTTGCAGACTCCTCTGAGAATAATTCACATAAGAAAACCGTTCTTTCAATGGTATCAAAGCATTTTTGCATTGCAAAGTAGCATGATTACACTTTTACATATGCTTTGAACGCAATGAAATCTTTCTGTGTTTCTCTTTGTATCTTCTTTTAATAACAATTTACAGATCAAGGCCTTTATTGAGAAGTTTCTCTAAAATATGTTAAATATGACGTGAATTCTTCACTTCCTCCAGTAGAAAGTTTCATTAAACCTACTGTAATTGTAAAAACCAGATTTTCGACATTCCCAAAAAAGGTCAAGACTAAAGCATTGCTTAACAATAGAAACCAACAAAAGAAGCAATTTTGCAATAGACCCACGAATTAAAAGCTTGAAATAAGTAAACCCAAAATCCTAAAAGTGGAAATTCAGTCACCTTGAAATCAATGTGAATGCATTTTGAAGCTTTCTTGATATGTTTCTTACTGAGCTGCCCAGACTCGAAGATGCATTTGAGAGGACCAGCTTTGGGTAAGTGAGGGGAAGGGTTCTGTGAAAGAAGCCATTGCTTCAACATCATCGTCATCTTCTTACAGAGTTGCTTCAGTTTCTGATGATTTTTCTTTCGTGTGTGATAATTGGGCTGTGTGGATAAGATTGCCGTTTTCTTTTTACTTTTGCGGATAATAGAATGGTACAGTGAACCAAGTATTTAGCAGCAAATGTCAACTTAATTAACAGTTGTTCAAGCTTAATTCGAGTATGTGATGTTTACTTCTTCTCCACTGTATCTTAAGACGTTGGATTTATTTAACCAAAAAAAAAAACGTTGGATTTTGCCCCCCATCTATATCAGCTGCCTGATAAACATTTTTTTAAAGAAAAAAGATCATTTTCTTTTGTTTTAATTTAATCTGCTTTGTGGTTGAGGGGTATGACACAAATCCTTAACATGAGTGTATTAATAACTGAAAAGTGAAAATATAAAGGAGGACGACGTAATACGTTATCTAGCTCTGATTTTTACCCCCCTTAATGGAGGCATTTTTTAAAGTTTGCATATTGTTTTCTTATATTTTTATGATTTATATACTAACTTATTCTTTTTTAGGCAATACTTGAAAATAATTCAAGTTATGAGGAACAAAACAGAAAATGTATGCATTAATAAGAAAGAGGGGTGGGTGTATGGGCTAAAAACTTCATATTATATGTTGACCATGTCAACGGTTATAAAGCCTTCAAAGGCTGCGACGTGATGACGATATGACATGTCAATCTAATTTCAAAAGGTCGACGTCACGTAAAGAAAGCAGGTCGTCGTTGTCGAGGTCGAGGTGGCTCAATAAAAGACGAGGACGAGGACGAGCATCCATCATCGGCGTGCAGTAACGACTAGTCTAAGGATTTATATTCCCCGGAGAATATTCCAGTGCATATTCCTCTCTGTTGTACTATCTACGGTTTTGTGGCCCGTGTACCCATAGGAAGAGATGTAGTTCTAGAAAGGGGATTGGACACTTTTGTAAAGAACAATATTGACATTCTCTGAAGATTCTCTCTCTTGAATAAGAATATTCAAGTGCTTATCATTATCCATCATCGTCAGAGGAATCAGTAAAAATATCTCACCCCTTTCGGGTGAACCTTGGTCCATTATTTACTTAAATGCCGTTTATTGTCATTTATTGTTATCCTTTACATTCTTGAATCATTTATTGCTCCATTATTACTCCAAGATATTATTAACTAATAACACACGTTTGGTATTTTTCACAAACACACTAGATCTGTCATTTGGATATTAATATTGACTTAGATTAACCCTTCTCTTTATAACTCTAATTGTATAAAAACCTAGATCTAAAATTTGGGTCATACAGTTTGGCGCCGTCTGTGGGGAAGCCTTAGTCAATTTTTAGTTTTCATCTAGATCTATAACTCGCGTGATTTGCTAACCTAATGTGCTGTAAAGTTATCCTTTCTCTGTGTGTATACAAAGACTCCATGGCAGGTAACCAAGAACACAGAACAAAAGCGACGGACAACGTCCCAACCTTATAAGTGCCATCGACGAAGGGTATGACACCCAAGATGAGGAGGTGAGCCCCATGGCATCCCCCAAATTAGGGAAGTCGCCTACACCCTTCTGCAACACAACCAAACCAAAGGGAAATGGGGCATCTATGTCAACGGGAGAAGGGGCACCACCCGCTATGAAAAAACTCCTTGAAGTATGGTTAACTGACACTCTGGTCAACGCGATGAGCAAACAAGCCCCATGCATAACCACAGAAACTGTGAGGATCCACGCAACACAACACAGGAACGAACGAGATGACCAACCAAACTCTCCTACTTTAGGTAATACTCATATAATTGTTGACAATGCAGGAGACAACGTCCTCACCGCCGTGTTGAAAATGAATGGAGGAAATAGAAAACGAGAACAAAGAACTTAATGAAAAAATGAAGGATCACTAGGAACGGTTAGACAAAATATCAGGTGCCCCAAAAGTTTTACCAAAAAGAGATGCCGGGAGGTTAGTGGAGCAGCCATATAGTTAAGAAGCGGCCCCTTATGCCATACCAAAACTTTCAAGATGCCTATGTATCTTCGAATCTACGACAGAACTACAGATACCGAGGATCATGTAACTCACTATGTCACCGCCGTAAAAGGCAACGACCTCACCAAAGAGCAGGTGTCCTCTATCTTGCTGAAAGTTTTTGGTGAAACCCTCACAGGAGGGGAGTTGACGTGGTATTCATAGTTGCCAGCCTATTCCATAGAAACATTCGAAGAGATAGCTGACAAGTTCGTAACAGCGCATGCCGGGGTCAAGAAATCTTAAATGAGGTTGAATGACATCTTCGCCATCAAGAAATACCTAGGGGAGGGACTTCCTCACCCGATTCAACTGGGTGAGGATGACCTTACCAAACGTCTCTGAAGGAATGGTCGCGACAGCCTTTCAAAATGGGTTATGCAAAGAAGGCTCGAAGGCAACCAGAAAGTTATTGAGCCGGTTAATGAAGTACCCACCAACCACTTGGGACGAGATTTACAATGCCTATTGTGCCAAGGTCAGGGCAGATGACGAAGTCCTTAACGAGGCCAACTCGATGACTCATCTCGGTACAATTTGAACCCAGAAAGGAACGCAAGGATAATTCGAGGAGAGACCCTCTAGTACCACGGCTAGGAAGAGATCGGCATAAACCCTATGTCAGGTTACCCGTTCCCAACTTCCGCCACGAAGATGACCCATCTAGGCCGAGATCAGACATTCATAAGAATGATCGAGGTATGCTCCCTACTATCTACTCATAATTTTTGTGTGTCACCTACAGAGGTGGTCTACACACTTGAGAAGCTCGAAACAAAGGTAAAGTGGTCACCAAATATGAGGTCTGACCCAAGCACCAAGAAGTCTGATGCCTTCAGCGAGTTCCACCAAGAACGTGGATACAAAATGGAAGATTGCCATCCTCTGAGGTTAGAAGTAGCAAACTTGCTGCAGCAAGGACATCTCAAAGAATTACTCAGCGACAAAGGTAGGAACACCTTGGCAAGGGGTCGAGAATGCCCAGGCCCACCAAAGCTACCTTCACCTGCTCGCACCATCAACATGATCATTAATGGCAGCGATGACACCTCCATCAACCACATCAAATTCACCACCACTCACAAACTCAAGAGATCAATCACCCACGAACGGTTTGACGACCTCGAAGAAAGTATCATCTTCGATGAGTTAGATGCCAACAGTTTGACTTTCCCTCACAATGATGCACTTGATTACTTTATGAATTCTACGCATACTCAGGCTACAATCAGATACTCATGGAGAAAGATGACCAATAGAAAACTACTGTCACGACCCAATTTCCCTCCCTTATAGGCCGTGATGGCGCCCAACGTTACCGCTAGGCAAGCCAACAGTGAACTAGTCATGTATTTGTTCCTTTTTAATAATTTCAAAGTAGTTAATTTTTATTATTAAGTAAATGAATAACGAGAAAATTATAGTAAGGTAAAGTATAAACTAATGAGAGAGTAAATACAATGAAATAAATACTCAAACCATAAAGTGTCTACTAGAATGTTCCCAAAACCAGTGTCACATGTGTATGAGAAACTAGTAGAATATACAAAATACATATGTTAGTGTCTAAAATAAGATAGACAAAAAGTAAATACAAAAGAGAGACTGTGGGTGCTGTAGAACGGACTCAGAGAGAAGCTCACCACTATGCCTTTGGGTATCGTGGGTGCCCACCTGAATGACTGCCAGATGCACCTGCCTCAGATCCTGCACGATTAGTGCAGAAGTGTAGCATGAGTACATAAACAACATGTACCCAATAAGTATCCAGTCTAACCTCGAAGAAGTAGTGATGAGGGGTCGACATCGACACTTACTATGGGCCAATAAATAAAATATGGAAATTCTAAATAGACATGGAATACATCAATAATACTAATAATATCACAATAACAAACAGTAAATAAGTGATTCTTTAACTAAAAGTCAATTTAAAATCTCCATAGACATATACTATCTTCAAGAATTACGGGCCATCAAGTAAATTATAATTTCTCAAGTCATAAAAATAATATCAAGTGTAATTGGACTCCGAGCATTATCACGCACGATTTATGTCGAGGTCGTACGACCCGATCCAGAATAATGTGTACACTGCCGAGGGTTGACCAACACAAACCATAGATACATCTATTATACTACCTAGGCGTTCAGCCCACTCCACAAGAAGAGAGAATACTCTACGAGCATCCGATCTAACGATTATCACAAGACTGATACACAAAGAGGCACAATTTCTATCAACGGTCAAGTAACTCGCCAAAACTTAAAGTAAGTGAAGTTTGATCTTTACTAATCCTTTCTCAAGTTTCAATATAATTTAAGCAATTAAATTAATAAGTAGAATACAAACAATACAAGTAATTTCATGATAGGGCCCTAAAACTACCCGGACATAAGCATGATTTGTAGCTACGCATGGACTCTCGTCATTTCGTGCGTACATAGCACCCATAATTAGAAGCAAATAGTAATTTAAAACACCTATGGGGTAAATTCCCTCTTGCAAGGTTAGGAAAGAGACTTACCTCATCCCAAAGTTCGCCTTCCGGCCTACATATTCACTCTAAAGCCTCAAGTCGGTGCCGAACAATCCGAAACTAGCCAAATATTATATAAACTAATCAATATATGCTCAAAAGTTTATAATTTAGCCCCTAGAGTAATTACCCAAGCCAAATTGAAAGATTCCTAAAATTCACCCCCGGGCACAAATTTCGGAAATTTTCGAAGATAAATGTTACCCATAACCTCACAAACTTAAATATATAATTTCTACTCAATTCCATAATCATTTTCGTGGTTTAATCCCATATTTATCAAAACCTAAGTTTTTCAACTAACCTATAATTTTTACAATTTACATGTTAAGAATCTACCCAAAATCCGCGTACTAAACTCACATTAAGTAGTAAATACTTACCTCACGATGATAGGAAAAACACCCCTCTACAAGAGCTCCTCAATCGACTACTCCAAGTGAAAATGAGATAAAAACGCACCTAAGTCCGATATAAATGCACCTCACTGCCTCAACGAATTTTGCACCTGCGACAAAACAGTCGCACTTGCAGCTACGCTTCTGCGAAAAAATCATCGCAAGTGCGGACCTTGCCCAGGCTAGCCATTC